CAGAGTATGTTTTTGGAAATTGGGATAGGGGGACATTGGCACTTGGGTAATGTGTATTATTGTATTATAGAGGTATGACTGACCATATGAGATAAATAAGTTAAATTTGAAAAAACAGTTATTTTGTTTGTTTTTTTATTGTATTTGTTAGAATAGATGTTTAGGTTGTTTGTTAATTAATTGATTTGTTTGTGATTGTTACTACTTTATATTTTCTATAAATGTTGTCATTAGGGCTGCCTTTAGTATGATGAGTAAGCGGAAAATTTGACTTAGGGTGTACAAAGAGAAAAAATAAGTTGAGGAGAGATTTGATTATACAATCGTTTGCTGACTATTAAAAATATTATATCGTATACTTTGAATATGTTTTCTTTCATATGATGTTTTTTATTCAATTTATCTACTTTGATTTTTGCACCATATTTTTTTTCCCGTCTAGGGCCTCCCAAATGCTAAAGACGCCCCTGCTTTGTACATATATACTCTGTATTCTTTAAAGAGAAGTCATTAGCATTTGCTACACTTAATTTTTCTAACATCATATCAAAAGATATAATGATGTCAAATGTGAAGCATGTGGGGTTGAAATTGCTGTAAGTAGAACTAAAACTTAGACAAAATGCACAAATAGGATTATATGTATTTTATTCCTGAAATAGGACTTACTTGATCTTATTAAAAGTATAAAACTTCTATTAAGAGCGAGTGAGTCCTATTTTAGAAAGAAAACAATGATAGTTCTATATATATGTACATTTTGTTTATGTTTTAGTCCTATATAAGGAATTTTCTCGATAGGTTAATTATAGAGGACATAATTGATTATTACTCACTGCCCCATTTATAAGGTACAACGTAATGATGCTAATATTAGGAATTGAATACCCATTGGATACATGTTATTTTTGGTTTTCTATGATACATATGTAGTATGAATACAATGTTACAACAGCATGGATTCTATTTAGACTACGTACCATTAAACTAACAAGTATGGATTAACATTTATCCGATGGGTATTCAAATAGTAATATATAAAGATATAAAGATGTATTTTTTTTTGAAAGAAATCGGCTTAAACGGAAAACACATCATTCAGATAGTAGGTAATCCGACAAAACAACTTCTGACAACCGCTGTCCCTCGAACCAGACTCAGAGTTTATCGCCTCAGCAATATAACTCGTTGGTCCATTAATGGGCACAAATGAGCCAAAGACGCTCATTTGTAAAATCAATTTATAAAGATGTACAAACTAAATCAATAAATAAATGGTATACGCAGCTTCTTAAAATAAATAAATAAATACTCAGTTATAAATAGTTGTGTTACTTATTGAATAGGAGCATACTATATATGAAAACAAAATTCAATTTACTTATCATACTGCGCTTGTGTGAAAGTGAAAACCTTGTTCACGTTTCAATTCATATACTCCATCCGTCTCGTAAAATAGTTCTCACTATCCTTTTTTGGTTATCCCAAAAAATAGTTCTCATTTTCCTTTTCGAAAGTTTTGTGTGGATATCATTCATTTAATTTTTTCTTATTTAACTACAACCATATATTTCCACTTTATTCCTACTTTTTAAAATCCCGATCCAAATCAAAGTGGGAACTATTTTATGGAACGGAGAGATCGAGTATGGATTTTGCGTTTAATATCTCTTCAATATGAAATATTTAAGCTTTTTTTTTATGTTGCATTGAAATATTTAAGCTTTTTGTGAATTGTGATTTCTTTTTATGCACAAACCAAATCCTAAAACGATGAATGAGGCAGTAAAACTTATACTTGGGTAGTTGGGTGATTGAATTGGGTTCTTTTACTCCCAAAATGTCCAGATCCCATATTCCCATCTGAAACTTAGGTCAAAAGTATATTTATTGACTTTTGGAGTTTTGGGTGGAAATATTTACCTCCTCACTAACTCTCTACCCATAGATTTGATCATTTGAAGAAAGGATGTGCGGTTTGCAGAATTGCAGTATTGCACAAGCTAAGGCAAATGTCATTTGTTTGTTCTTCTTTTGTTTAGTGAGAAGAAAAGCTAAAAAGAAGCATACACAATAATGTTGTCCTTATTTTTTTATTCGGATTTCCGTTTTTCATTTAAAAAGGTATAAAAAGTTAGTCTTTTTAGTCATTTTTGTAAAAAAATGAATTGACTTTTTTCTGTTTTTTTTTGTTATATTTTTTTGTTGATACATCGGAAAGGATTTTTTTGTTATATTTAGATGATAATGGTTTTACTTTTTAAGGTATTGACATGTGAAAACATTGATTCTTGTTGTAATGTATAAATTAAACTTTAGATTGAGAGAGCTAGTAAATTGAATATGTCATTTCTGTAATGATATAGATTGAGAGTCAATATTTAAATCTATTAATTCTTACGGAGTATGAGTTACAAATGCTTTTAGGCAATAACGATTTTTATGTAGAATTAAAACATGTTTTCAATTCCATAAGTGAATATGTTGTCTCTCTAGCTAGATGAATTGACATAGTAATTGTTTTATTGAGAGCGAGCAAATGAGTTTTATAGTTTAAATAATTAACAGTGTACCAAATTATGTAAAATTCAATCGAGCTTTATTCTATGCATTTCCATTTAATCTTTGTAACAAACTATTTTGATTTGATTGCCAAAAAAACAAAACAAACTATTTTGCTAATAATGGATCCTTAGAGACATAATGCGCCTGTTCTATATAGAGTAAAATATGGAAATATTTTTTGGGTGAATAAATAGTTAAATTCCTAGGTAGTTGTATGATGAGAGGTTATGCAATTTTTCAAGCAAAATCCAATTAAACGTGCCGTATATAAATGGATGCATAAAATGCCCTAAAATTGTACGCGGCCTCAGGGTACGACTATTACTTCTCACGTAATATTATATATGCTCCGTATGGAATAATATGACGACTAAAAGAATAAACTTTAAAAGGAATTCTAAAAATGCCTGGTAGACCGACAAAGGCGGAAAAGAACATTGAGACCCCTCTCTATCCCAGCTGACTTGTAAAAATTTTTAACTGAAAAACTAATTTCACATTATAAAGTCTCTACATTAAAATTTTCTCCTTTCTCTCTTTTATTATTATATTATAAAATAATTATATGTTTATGATTAAAATAAAGATCATTTATAAAAATGTAACTACGGACAATAATAATAACCGGATCATATTAATTTATGTTTAACTTTTAAAGTTAAGTGATCAGGTGACCATGACACTATCATTTCGTAACATAATACTCCGTAATTAATAAGAATTAACATTGGTACTAATATAATAGGGTTTTTATCAAAACTATTATTAAAACAAAACTTTTAAAGTTAAATGATGGGGTGACCATGACACTACCATTTCGTAACTATAAGTCATATATTTGAATAAAGAAATTTTGTTTTAATATAGTTTTGATAAAAACCCTATTATATTAGTACCAATGTTAATTCTTAGTAATTATTATAATAATGCATTAAAATTCAATACTTTAGTCATGATTGAGCAAATCATACGTTTCAGATGCTAAATCTCATTATTGGCAAAATCCAGTCATTAACACATCATCTAGATTTGGAAATTGTCTGTTGTGATCACTCGGTCCTCTATTTAAGCTTTGGATGACACCATCTTCCAATAGCTTATACTCCGTATGTCAATTCATATTTATCTCATCAATTTAATTCTTGATTTACGTTAGTTGATTAACTTTGAATTGGTACCTCTAAATCTCTAAGAGCATCTCCAATGCTACAATGTGCACGATGCACATGTGACATGAGAGAGATAGACACAAAATATTGGTTTTATGACATTTATCTTCCCTTCTTTCTACGGTCTTATGTGTTTTTGGTAAGTTTACTTGACATTGTGAAAAAAAGCTTACCAAAATGATGTAAGATCCTTCAAATAAGGAGATATATATATTCTATTTCTTGTTATTTAAGTGGTTATTTCTCATGCCACATATGCACCGTTAACATTTTAGCATTGGAGATGCTCTAATGGTATCAATATAACACATTAATACGTCCTAAATTGATTTGGAAAGTCAATTTTTCCCCAAATAATTTCATTTTGTCTAATATGAATTTTTTCCACTATAGAGAGATTTTAAATTTTAAAATTTAATTATTAAAATTAAATTAATTATCAATTGAGAGAACTTAAGAATAATATTGATTGATTAAAAATGAACCCACATAGGTAGGTCAGTTGGTTTAGTGATGATAAATTTGGGACAATGATCAACGATCGAAACTCGCAGCGGCCGTGTGAAGGTTACAACACTATAGGGTTGTTTTTACTAGTTTTCTCTCTCTCTTGAAGCTAGATCTCTGGTGCACACAGATATAAGACCTACAATCATTGGGCCGATTGAATCATCGTTACTTATGTTGGATGAGAGTCTGAGGCTTCTGGGTTTGGAGATTCCACCTTTGGGAACCATTATTCCATGGGAAAACTGTCAAATAGGTCCTCGAACTTTCATAAAAAGGTCAATTAAGTCCTTCTATAGGAGGTTTTGTCCGGCCTTCGCGATTTGGGGCAGTTCCCGGTGGAATTTTTTGATAGAATTTTTTGAGCATCTTATTCACCAAGTCTAGTTTACTCATACCAAATTTCAGCTAAAAATTAAATCGGGAACACATTCAAATTAATTCTTGAAGAAAACTGCGCATTTTTGCGTTCTCGAATTAATTTGAATGCGCTCCTGATTAAACTTTTAGCTGAAATTTGGTATGAGTAAACTAGACTTGATGAATAAGATGCTCAAAAAAATTCATCAAAAAATTCCACCGGAAACTGCCCCAAATCACGACGACCGGACAGAGTCTCCTATATAAGGACTTAATTGATTTTTTTTTTAATGAAAGTTTGAGGAAGTTTTCCTTCCATTACAAATGAACAAAATCACACTCTACTCTCGGAATCAAAAGCATATGCGGAGACTCATTCTCTGACACGGAATTGGGGTCTATATATTCCGTATCGGTTGAACCGTACCTTAAAAATTTGTACGAGTAGATTCATCCCAGTTGTTGCAATTTTGCGTTTCCCTTCAATCATGGAATCTCCAAGTCTGATCACTCCCATCCCTAATCTCCTCTTCTTCTTCACAGCTTTTCTCCTAATTTACATCATCGCATACCTCTTCATCTTCCGCAATTGGAAGCCCAAGCTCCGACCCGAAGCCGCCAGCTGCGCCATCTCCCTGACCCACGGCACTCCCGCCGTGTTCTTAGCCGCAGCCGCCGTCCTCTCCGACGCTAATCGGAGCTTCCACTCCCGGAACACGCCCTTCCAGAACCTGGTTCTCGATTTCAGCGTCGCCTATTTCCTGATGGACCTTTTGCACTACCTGATTTTCTTCCCGACCGACGCTCTCTTCATCGCCCACCATTTGGCCACCCTGTTCGTTTTCGTCAGCTGCCGATACGCCGTCTCTCGCGGGGCGTATTCCGTATTAGGGCTCCTGGTTCTGGCGGAGGTCACCAGTTTCTGCCAGAATGTTTGGACCCTGGCCGGGGTTCGGAAATCCGATTCGCAATTGGCTGCCAAAGTGTACGGATTCCTGTCCCCTCCGTTTTATGCTCTGTATTCTGTGGTTAGAGGGTTTGCCGGGCCGCTGTTTGTTTATAGAATGCTGGGTTCTTTTATGAAAGGGGAAGCCGAGAATGTGATACCCAGATGGATGTGGATTTCTTGGTTTACTGTTATTATCGCTGCAATCTCTGTCAGTGTCTTGTGGGTTTCAAATCGTTGGGTTGACTTGTATCGACAGAAAAGTCAAAAACTTGACAAAAAATACAGGTAGAGAATTTAGGGCACATTTAATGCTTGTAATATTCTTACAGAAAAATCAAACCAATGAAGACTGACTCCTTTTACACTTTATCCAGTCAGATTGAATTAGAGTTGTTTGTGTTTATCTGCTGTTACTTTGACTTAATGAAATCCAACCTGCAATTTATTGTCACCCCTCTCTCCCTTTTATTTTGGGTGAATTAGTCAAGTATGTTTATGGAATCAAACTTTCATCTCAATGTTATACTGTAAAGTTGTAATCTTTTGGTGCAATTAGAAGGTAGAGTGGATAAATATTTGTTCTTTCATCTGAATTTGGTATCCAAGTATCAAAATGATTTGTTGATCAAGTATGGTTTCTTTGAAGTTTTAGAATTACAGAATTATCAACAGTATGACCAAAAAAGGTGCTGAATCCTTGAATATGACTAAACCTAAGTTAATGGTGGTTTGAATGTACATTAACTGCTTTGTTGTTACTTCTTTCCTTCCATGATGTACTATGCTCATGAGGCATGTTGAAGTTTCCTAGTCAAATACTTGGAATCTGTGAATTTTGTGATTGCATATGGGTACTATCTCTTTGCATACTGGTTATGTTGTTGCTATGTGTTCGAGAGGTCGCGTGTTCAAGTTTGGGGAACGGCCTCTTGTCAAATGATAAGGGAAGGTTCGCCCCGTGTACACCTGCTTTGGACCATTCATCGGACCCTCACCTTGTGAGGACGCCAATGTGCACCTGGTGCTCTTTATATATGTATATTCTCTTTAAAAAATACTTTCCCCGTAAATTGTTAGTCATTTGGGATGATCAGCCATAATACCTATCCAGTTAGTCCACAAGATAAGCTGAACTTTGGAATAGACAGCCAGGCAAAGAATGCAACAAAGTTGTAAAATTATTGAGTGAGAAATTCGGCATTTTGAAAGAGTGTTTTTACCATTAAACAAAGAAGCTAACTGAAATTTGTCAAGGGGTGTTCGATTTTTTGTGACTTATAAAGTGTGTAATAGGGGCATTTGTATCTGTTCTACTAGAAGTCTCCACCATGCCAAAAAAATAGCATGGCAGCTGATAAATAATTATGATTCATTGTTTCAATACGAATGGCCACTGTGGAGGTTGTAGGTTAGCTTCTGAAGGCAGCTGATAACTGCCGATGACAACAAACTGGGGGTGTTGCAATGTGCCAAGAAGGGTTCCTCCACTGAGATAAGGATATTATCTTCAGTTCTACTATCAAACACTTAATAGCCAACTGGAGGATTGTGCTTTCAGTATAGACATAATGCTAGACTGCAGTGAAGAAGTGAAAGTCTAAAGCTGATGCATATTCTATCTCTAATTGTACGCCCTTGTGAATTGAAGTTGCCCAGAAAGGCATTTGAGATTTTGAGTTGCAAGTGTATGCCTTAAATGTGGACTAGATATGCAGTTGCAAGTTAGGAAAGGTGGGAGCACAAACACTGGTCAGAAGCAAAGATTATTACATAGCTTAGATTTTTCTTTTTTCTCTTTCCCGGACCCCTCAAATTGTGTAGTGGAGCTTTTTTCAGTGGTTTGCCTCTCCAAACAATTATGGTAAACCTAAACATACGAACAGTTTTTTTTTCTTACTTCCCTGTAACAATTTTGAGCTTGATTTGGTATAGACAATTTATCTTTGGCATCAAAATTATCAAAAAAATTTAAATGTGATGGTTGAGCTCTGTCAGATACTGTACCTGGCTTTGGCACCTGAAGGGCCTGACTTGGAAGCACCATTAGGGGTAGGATGGCAACGGGGCGGGTTTGAGGTAGGGTTTACTTCCCATCCCCGCCCCATGTCTAAAACGTTTCCCCCATCCCCAACCCATCCTCCATTACTTTTAGACCCGCCCCATCCCCGTCCCACGCGCTTTCCCCCACGGGTGCCCCCATATATATTTTAATTATCTTATTTGTGTATTTTTTTAATCTATTTTATAGATAAATAAATATACTATCATATATAGCACTGAAAGAATTGAACTGGATAATATTGTGTTTGATAAGATGATACAACCAATTTTTAACAAATCTTAAATTTGAATAAGTTCTATGAAAATAATAAAACTAAAAATGTAAGTCAACATATTACCATCATGTGTGTCGTTCCAAATTTCTCATCAATTATAATACAATTAATTAAATATATTTTACATATGTATGTGTGTTCTATTTACTTAATTTCTCACTTTCAAAACTCATATCATTTATGATAAATATTTTATGTCATTACTTATTATTATTCTAATATAATACGTACATAGTATTAGTTCGTTAATCATCACTAATACACATACATGTATGTATGTCTATAAGTATGTCATATGTGTATGTGTTTCTTGTATAGTACATATAATTTAATTAAATATGTTTATACATTATTAATATATGTATGTATATATGTATGTTTGAGTATATATTTATAACGGGGACGGTGCGGGTGTAGTAATCCCTATCCCCGCCTCATTTTAGCGAGGTAGAAATATCTCACCCATCCCTGCCCCGCCCCATCCTTTCCCCGCGGTGCGGTTCCACAAGGCTCCCGGCTCCCATTGCCATCCTTAATTAGGGGTCGTTTTGTTCCAGGAATGTCAGATTATCATGGAAATGTCATATTGCTGGGTATGTTAGATTCATGGCAATGTATTCAATTTATTCTCATTTGTGTTTGGTTAAGATTAAGAGAATTGTCGTCATTAATTTGGTTGAAAGATATCTTATATTGCAGATATGGTGAATTACTTCAATGCCCCTTAAATATTTTCTCTTAACACAATAGATTTATTACAACCTACATCTAAAGTAATTAAAATTAAAGAAAAATGAAATATCTTAATAATAAATAAAATCAAACCTAATTGGATTATTTTTAAGTTAAGTATGTTTAATTGTAAAAAGTTGTAGATCCAATACAGAAATGAAAAAAAACTTTGTTCAAATAGCAATATAAGATAAAAACTTTGTTCAAATGATCAATTTTGCCATTAAATTTTGAATGTGAGATAACCTAAGGCATAGATGGGTTTAACATTCCCCTCCATACTACATTCCCGAGAATGTAACTTTCCTAATTTTTTTTCAAACTCGTGAACCAAACAAGGGTATGCAATATTTCGTGCATCATAGGCCTGGGACCGGTTCGGTTCCTAGGTGAAATATGTGGAACCGTTTGAAAATATGAAATTTTACTAATGGTTAGGTTCTTATAAATTATTTTGTAGAACCGATAAGGAACCGGACCGTTCTTAACGGTTCGGTTCTTGTCATTTAACGGTTCCTAGTATTTAAAAAAAATCTTACAATTCACGGTTAAATTTGTGTCAAAAATACATTCAACGCTTGAAATTACAATACAAATATGTTGAATTTCATTTCAAACCTCAAAAGTTGAGTTTAAAAGATAAATACATAACAAACTGCAAATTTTAGAAAACAAAAACAAAACAAGATATTCGGTAAAGAAGCCCAATAAAACCAGTTAAATGAAAAATAATTTCAAATAGTTAAATAACTAAAATAGTGAATGTAATATGAAAATAAATAAGTAAATATACATTAAAATACATATACTAATAAGAAATATATATAATTTTAATTATTATATATAACGGTTCTTTAACGGTTCCACGTACATATTTTTTTACAGGAACCGAGAACCGAACCGTTAATAAAAAGTAGGAACCGAACCATTAACAAATAACTAATAAATTTTGGAACCGAATCGAACCGGGTCATAACGGTTTGGTCCGGTTCGGTTCTCCGGTTCTTGGTTCCAAAGTCCCAGCCCTAGTGCATCACATTCCGACCTTTATGTGAGATTACCCCAAACCAAACATACCCTAGAGTAGAGTTGGCTGCTGATGAACTGGGTAAACAAATCTTTGTATTTTTTCGGCTGTGTAAAAATAAAAACTCAAAAAACGCTCATGTTTAAATGTACTAAAACCCATTGCAAACACTCGTAAGTCGTAATAAACTGAGGTTTGTTTCACCTTCTGTATAATTCAAACATTTGCAGGCCAAATTTTACACTATCAACAACCGAGACTTTACCAACTTTACAGCCTGAATGGAATACACTATGATAAAGTATTACATTGGCCGAAAATTGATACACAAGGTGAAATTTACTAGAGAATCATTTTACATTTTTACATAACTCTTAAATAGCAATCAATTAAGAATGATATAAGAATATTTGTGGTAGAGGTTTGGATGTATGTGTATGTAATAAAAAGGGTACATTGCAAGAGTGAAGAAAAGGCCAGCACGTTGCCTTACATCCAGATATTAATTTCTTGCATTCCCTCAGAAGCTTATAAAATTAACTATAACATTAATTTACTATATTTGTATAAATGTTCACAGCAAATTAACTACTCCGTATAAAACTAATGTACTATATTTGTATATGTATTTGTAGCAAACGAGCGAATTTGTGTTATAAATTAAGAGTAGAATTTGTAATCTTTGGCCTGTACGATGATATTCCGAAGCCCACCAATGGGTGCCAAAATCATCAAGAGAACTCCCAGAACAATGCAAACCTGCAATCAATCAGCAGGCATTGATGATGAATGTATTCATAACTGAAGAAGCCTACACTTAGGGATAAACTATTAGTCAACATACCCAGTTTGTGATCCAAGAAAGACTGTATTTCTTCGGCTTGTAAATAGCTAGCCACATCACACATGGGAGCTGCAAAAATGCACATACTAACATTATAATGCATGGTATCCTATAATTATATACTACATACTATACATATAGTGATATAGCGCATGGGCTAGTACAATTCAAGTGAAATGAAGGGGGAAGCTTACAAAGTATGTTGTAGGGGCAAAAGCAAATCCTCCAAAGAATCCAAGTAGCCCACCAAAGAAAGGAAATGTGATTCCAAGAAACATTGTGATTGCTGCAATCATGATAACATTAAGTTTAATTAACTGTACAGTTCAACTAGTTAATGTTAGTAATCAGAATCTGTGCTTCTTCAAAAAAAATCAGAATCTGTGCAGTGGAATTTGTATTACGTACCCACATATATGTTTCTGGTAATGAAACGCAGGTACCAAGTAGGCTCGAAGTTCAGTTTCTTAACTAGCAATGTCTCCAACATATCAAAAACGGGCATTGCATATATCTGCCGCAAGAAAATACACACAAAATTGATTGATATTGTTTGAAG